ATTCTCCCGCATCCTTGTAGGAAATCCCTGTCAGGCTTATTATGGACCATCGGACACCCTCTCCAGGTGTTTCTTGAATTACTACAGGAAAATGCAAAGAGTAAAACATCATAAAAGGGAGCTAAAGAGAAGTAAACATTATTAGACTACTTGGGTTGAAACTAGATGATCTTTAAGGTCCCTTCCAACCCAAACCAGTCTATGATTCTTTGATACTTATTCCCTTAAGTTATTTCTGCCAGAAGGAATCACGGATATTAAACTTTTTTAAAAATCAAAACTAAAAATATAAACAAACAATAATCAAACAAAGTAAAAAACTCAACACCCTCCCACCTCAAACTGTGGAACTCCCTGCCAGATATTATTGCAGAAAAGTGCTCAGCTTGGGTCAAAATGGAATTACAATATAATTTGCAGTTTCACTAAATAAAAGCACATAAAGAGAAATCAAATGTCTCGAAGCTGCTAAGGGACTAGGACATAGGAGTCTCACTGACTTCAGGTGACATTGAACATACTAACTATTTAAAACATTTTTGGGGAATTACCTTTGTCTTCGGATATTTCAGTACTTTGGACTGTTCCCTCCTTCAGAGCTACCATTTAAGGTAACTGCTAACTCCTGGGCATTATCAAGAAACATTTAAGTTGCTGCATAAATGTCTGTCATGAAAGCTAGAACGACAACCACTTCGCCATTCAAGATGAGCGTTGCAAATAGACAACAAACCTTTGCAAATAACATAGAAAGTGTGATTTTGGAAAATCCTATGTTTACAATACTGAGTTTTAAGTGGCTCAGTTATGACCTCTCTAGCTTTTTTTATCGTGAACACGTTGAATAAAAATGGAAATTCCAATAACGAATTTTCCTTTCTGCCTTTCAGCTTCTGAGTTAGGGCCCAGTTACCTCAACCTTCATTTTCCTTTATCCTTCCTCTAATTCACCCATCTCCCCCCTCCATGTACATAGTGCTTATTACAGACCACATCCAGAATCACAACAGTCTGTTGGACCTGTCCAGAGCAAGATCCAGACAAGGAATCTCATAACAGCTGTTGCATGGACACAGTTGCCAGCTTGGTGCAACACACGGTCCACTATCACCCATTCTTATAACGACCTCAAAGCACAAGCAACCCAACAATTTCAGGCTCTCCCATTTCCTATAAAAGAGCAATTATACCTGTATAGTTCACTGGAATATTGTCTGACCTAGCCCAAGTAAGCTGTGGTGTTGGGTACCCAGTCGCATCGCAGCGTAGCAGAACGTTGCTTCCCAGCGGGGAAGTGATTTTTGTTGCCGACGTCATCACGGATGGCTTGAGACACTGCTCTAACTCAGCTCTCTGGAACAAGATTCCTGCCAGGCTCTCAGGTCCACTACACGAAACCAACGGATCAAGAAGCACAACTGAGTTGTCCACAATCTTGGAAAATTCGATCAGCTTTGAAATGCGACAGTCACAGAACCATGGGTTGTCCTGCAAACCTGAAGCAGGGAAGGAAATAATAAAATGTTGTCAGGCAATATATTGTGATTATGGTCCGATGCAGGACTACCACCAAGTACAATCGAGGAGAACTGTGGACATACTCTGAGCTAATATTTTCCCTTTCAAATTGTCTTCTTTGTTTTTCAGAGGTGAGAAAGAACAGCATGAATGACAAACTAAACTACTTCACAGAAGTTTTTTTCAGAAGTGAGAAAGAACAGCATGAATGACTTCAACAAAAGTAGTGCCAGCTCCTGTAAA